GGAGAGTGAGGGGACTTTTAGTACTCCAACTAGGAGATACAAGAGTAGTAGATCCAGAATTGTGACAGATAGCTTAGATAGAGATGCTATTAGACACTGCATTTACCAGCAATATGACGGCAACAATAGGATTACTCTGAATAGTTTACTAGTTAAGGATAATATATGAGACGTATTAATCATGTACGTGAATAGTCTTTATGTAGGACGAATGGAATTTTTAATGGAGGAAGGTCTGGGCTTGCTTTACTTTTAAAGGAAATGGGATTTAGGTACATTTTAATCTTTTCATTCTTAATCTTCATCCCCTAATTACAGATATTGTGTAGTTAATGATCGTCGGTACTATTATGAGCAACCAAGGATCGTTGAGCAGAGGCATAAGTACCTTCTTAGGATGATGCAGAATAGAATAGATAAAAGACCTGTAGTTTTTTAGATGAAACCTGGGCTAATTCCCATGATGGGAAAGATTTAGCATGGGTTGAAAAAGACACAGTAACAGGTGGGACTTTGGAAGGTAAGAGACGTCCATCAGGTAAGGGGGAAAGGCTAATTATTCTTGGAGCAGGAGGTGAGACAGGTTGGATTCCCAACACAACTCACATTTTCCGTTCTAAAAAGAATACAGGCGACTACCATGATGAAATGACTGGTGAACATTTTGAGGAGTGGTTTAGAGATAAACTGCTCCCTAATGTGCAACCTAATTGTCTTATTGTCATGGATAATGCCTCATATCATTCTCGATTTGATGACCCAGTACCAACTAAAAGTTGGACTAAAAAGCGTATGATTGAATGGCTTGATTCACATGATATATCTTATCCTGAAAAAGCCTTGAAATCAGAGATTTGGTCCATCATACATAAAATAGATGCCTCCCCCAGGTACGTCATAAATGGAATGGCTGCTGCATCAGGTCATGAGGTTGTTCGCCTGCCTGTGGCCCACTGTACTCTTAATCCAATAGAATTAGCATGGGCACAGGTTAAGGGTCACATAAAGGAGAACAACACTCGGTTTAATCTCGATGAGATTAAACGTCTTGCGTTGGAGGGTTTTGATGTCGTGACTCCTGAACGTTGGGCAAGTTTGGTAAAACATGTCCAGGACAAATTTGAGGATCACTACTGGCAGGTTGATGGACTCTAAGAATACTATAGTGTTCATGAGTTTGTCATTCATGTCGGTGGTGAATCCGATGATGATGATTGTGATGATAGTGATGAGGAACTACCATCAGACCCTGACTGTGACTTAGAAGACTCCTTGCTTGCTCATGATCAATCCGATTTTTTAACTTTTTAAGAATTTTATTTTTAACCTCAATTTTTAACCCTAATTTTAACTTATGTAATGACTGTATATATGACTAATCTATATCATAAATGTACATAATTACTATAATTAAAATTACCATCATTACTTAGTGATTTACTCACAAATACAATTAAATCTTCATTTTCTGTTATTATACAAAATTTTGCTTTTGATACTAAATTTTTGTGGCTACTTAACCCACTTAGCATCCACTTATCAACTACTTACTACCTGAGCTCTATCATAAC